GTGTATTCCTTCCATCTTCTCTTGATGCTTTCTGCATCATTCAATAATTTGCCCAGAGAATCTTTCAATAACGAAAGTTGAGGCTTGAATTTTTCCTTCAGTCCCCCAACTTGAGAAATGCTGAGTGTGTTCTTCCTTTTTGATTTTCTGATTCCAGATCTTTGCACATGTTGTTGTAATATTTGGCTTTATCTTCTCGTGCTGATCTTTGAAATTTTCTGTTCGGATCTTGTACCTCCTTATTTCTTCCATTTGCTTTTGCATCTCTACGCTGGGGAGCAAGTTTCAGTGTCTCTTCTGACATCCATTTTGACCTTTTCCTTCTTTCTTGTCTTCTGAATGACTTTTTGCTTTCTTTATGTATGATGTTCTTGATGTCATCCTACAACTCGTCTTGGTCTTCAGTCTTTAGTGTTTAATGCGTCAAATCTATTCTTCAGATGATCTCTAAATTCAGGTGGTATATATTCAAGGTCACATTTTGGCTCTCATGAACTTGTTTTCATTTTCTTCAGCTTCAGTTTGAATTTGCATTTGAGTAATTGATGGTCTGTTCCACAGTCTTCCCCTGGCCTTGTTTTCACTGATGATATGGAGCTTTCCCATCTTCTCTTTCCACAGATGTAGTCAATTTGATTTCTATATACCCTCCATCTGGTGAGGTCCATATGTATAGTCATCATGCATTCCCCAGCATCATTTCTATCACCAAGGCCATATTTTCCAACTACTGATACTTCCTCTTTGCTCCCAATCTTTGCAATCCATTCACCAGTAATGATCAATACATCTTGATTGAATGTTTGATCCATTTCAGATTGAAGAAGTTGGTAGAATTCTTCTATTTCATCCTCACTGGCTTTAGTGGTTGGTACGTAAATTTGAATAATAGTGGTATTAACTTGGCTTCTCTGTAGGTGCATGTATCCTATCACAGACAGCGTTGTACCTCATGACTTATGTGGATATGTTCTTTTTGACGATGAATGCAACACCATTCCTCTTCAATTTGTCATTCCCATGTGGTTGTCAGATTCAAAATGGCCAATACAGTCCATTTCACTAATGCCTAAGATATCGATGTTTATGTGTACCATTTCATTTTTGACAACTTCCAATTTTCCCAGTTTATACTTTGTACATTCTGTGTTCCGATTTTCAATGAATGTTTACAACTGTTTCTCTACTTTTTGAGTTGTGCCCCATCAACACATGAAGGTCCCGGGGACTTTTCTCCCATGGGCTTTACCCAATTCGCATCATCACAGTCTGCTGTACTTTGAGGAGGCAGCTTTTCCCCAGTTGCATTTTGAGTGCTTGCCAACCTGAGAGGCTCATTTTCTAGCACTATATATGGCAGTGTTTCTCTGCTATTCATAAGGTTTTCAGTGACTAAATATTCGGAAGTAGTTCATCACTCCTTCCTAGTCTGTCTTCGTCTGGAAGGTCATCTGAAACCTGTCTACCATGGGTGACCCTGCTGGTATTTAAAATACCGGTGGCATAGCTTTCAGAATCACAGCACCACTTACAAGCCACCACAGTATGACAAACTGACAGATGAGTGGTGGACTGATCACAGAGACATATTTTAATTTAAACACATTTTGTTTGGAATCAACCTGTGCATGTATGTGCTAAGTCCTGTTGTGATGCTGTGGGATAATGCACTGGACCACAAGGTTGCTTTGTATCAAGAGGTCAGTGCTTCAGGGTCATTAGCTGCTCCTTCAAAACCCAATACAGGGTCACTCTAAGTCGGAACCAACTCAGTGGCACTTAACACCAACAACATGTGTGGACTAGAGCCCTAGTACCAATACCTTTTTAAAAATTTACCCTCATATATTAGATTAATAAGTGGATGGTGGTGGTGGTGGTGGTTATGTGCCATGGAGTTGATTCTGACTATAGCAACCCTGTAGAGGGTTTCCAAGGATGTAAATCTTTTATAGGATCAGAAAGCCTTATCTTTTTTCCATAAAACTGCTGGCAGTTTCAACTGCTGACCTTGAGGTAAGCAGCCCGACTCATAACCACTATGCTACCAGAGCTCCTCAATAAGTTGGTAGGAGGTGACAAGAGTGAAATACCACTTATGAAAGCTTCACCTTGCTAGATTTATTTATTGGCCTGAGATAAAGTATCAATGCTTAAAGGAGGAAATAGCATGTTATGCATTTAGCCAGTTGTAATTCTGTAGTTTCATATGTTGATTAGGCCACTGCATTGCATTGGAAAGTTTCTGGGAATCTCATTCTCACTTTTGTCAATGATGACAGTGTGAATCATACTTTGAGAAGTTAGTCAATGGATTGGCCCATAAGGTTTTAATATTACTGTTTTCAATATAATCTTGGCTGGGAGTTCACAGGAGTCTATGCTTAGCAGGTCTGTCTCTTTTCTAAGCCTTTGTATTTGGCAGCACAAATGCAACCTCAGCCCAAAAGCTACACACATTTGACCTAAGACCTTAGAGTTTAGATTCTCCTATGGTAGTTGGCATAGTTCTGGTAGCGTTGTGGTTACAAGTTGTGCTGCCAACCTCAAGGTCAGCAGTTTGAAACTACTAGGAGTTCCGCCAAAGAAAGATGAGGCTTTCTGCTCCCGTAAAGATTTACAACCTTAGAAACTTGATGCAGGGCCACTGTGAGTTGAAACTGACTCCATGGCACATTACCACCATGGTGGTTGGCACAGAAAACAGTTTAGAGATGATCACATTATTGGTTTACATCCTTATTTTACATATTTTAAACTGAGGCTCAAGAGAACTTGTATATCAGACTAGATCAGAGTACTGGTTTATTGATAATTTATTCAGTGCTCCTTTTAGTTGTCATCTGAAGATGTGTTGGATTTTTCCGGTTTTAGGAAAGTGATTTCTGTGTGAGTGGCAGTAAAACAATAGGATCTGGTGGTGGTGTTGTTAGTGCCATGGAATTGGTACCCACTCATCGCGTCCCCATGCACAATAGAATGAAACACTGCCTCGTCTGGGGCAAGTTCACCGTCATTGCTACACCTGAGCCTTTTCTGCTGCCACTGTGCCAATCCATCTAGCTGGGGACGTTCCTCTTTTCCTCCTCTTTTTTTCAGGTAATTTTGTGAATTGGCATTTTATTAATTAGATAAAAGTATTGTATTATTGAGCGGTAACAAGGAGTGTAGGAAATAGATTTGAGCCTTTCTTTAAGAAGTGAAAGGTATTGTGGGGAGATTGTAGTTGTATGCCATCTGGTAAATCTTTATGGGAGCAGATTGCTTCATCTTTCTTGCACAGAGTAGCTGGTTGATTTGAACTGCTGACTTGTGGTTAGTGTCCAACACATAATCCATTACACCATTAGGGGTCCTGGTGATGATAACAGAAGCAGGTATACAATGAGACTTCAGAGAGTTTGTGGCAAAATTCCATTTTTCTTTTGACTCCATTTTTTCCATGAACTCTTTGAAGTCCCTCCTCATATATGAAATGGGAGAGGAGGAGCATGAACGAGAGAATTCCGCTGTATGCTGGAGTGAGAGAGGTGCTCGGTCGGTTATCATTCTTACTATGTATGGTGAGAGCTGAACTTGACAGACGGCCTTGTTTCATCAGGTCTTGCCGGTTTTCCACCATTGAGAGGGTACATGCAGTCTTACCATTTTCTGGTACTCTTTGTTAGTGGAAAGTATTTGAATTTTCCTTCTCTGACAGGAAGCTTTCACAGGTTTGGCTGTACTTATTTTTGTTTTTATCATGCTTATTATCTTCATCATCGTTCATCATTACTGTGGTAGGTGTAACCACATGGGCGAGCATTGCTATTAGTATCGTTACGACCGTACATCATCCTCTGAGCCTGAGTCCCTGCTGTTACAGTATATGGTCTCTGAGAAATCGCTAGGCAGGAAGAGCTAGAGCATCAGTGATCATCTCAATGAGAAGTCATTTCTTTCAGTCATTATGATAGACTTGAGTTTTTTCTCCATTTGTACAATTAGATATGCAATTTGAAGAGAATAAAATTAAAAGTATGTTTTTAAAAGTAATTCTGTATCTATAGTCAGTAATTGATTATAGCATGTATGATCATGATGTAATTTTTAAAGGAAAAAAAAATGTCTTCTTAGTATTTGAGGGTCAACATTTATTAGACAGAGAGGAAAGGAAAAGTACTGATGCTTTGTCTTCAGACAGAAGACCTGGGAGCAGTGAGAGGTCTTTGGTTTTAATTTTTATTTGTACACTGTTATTTCTTATAGGCCCTATCAGCACGGTGCTGACATGTTGGCAGCTATTTCTCAGGTGTTAAATGAATGCACTAAATCAGATCAAGCTACTCCGGCAGCTTTAGTGTTACAAGGTCTTCATGCACTTTGTCAAGCTGAGGTAAGTTATTTTTGAGTTGTTTTAAATTTTGATGGATCTATTTTACAAGGTATAGTACCTTGAAGGATGTAACCTAAAATAACTTATGGTTTGAACTTTTTCTTCCCAGATATTGTATTTTTGACAGAGTGAAGCAAAATATTCTACTTACAAACTCTTTTGAGATGGGATCTTTGAACCATCTGAATATTTAAATTATCTCTAGAAGCTAAAGAAAATCAGAATTCAGGCTTGTTTTATTGTTATTTGTTTTTATTAGGTGAAAGGGAAATTTATACTTACAGGAGAATTCTTTTGTATGTTTGATTCTTAGCTTTTTGATTAAAGAGCCTTAGAAAGAGATGAGGTTGGGAAATTGGCATGGGCCAGTGGCACTTTTATACACAGCAAAAATTATTTTTGATTTGAAGACTGGCGGAGGATACTGTCACTCCTGGTGATTTGATTGGACAGCATGGGTTCGTGTTTGAGCTTAGCTTTTAAATCCTTTTTTAAACTCTAGATTACTCCTAGAATTCCAGTACCACAGAGAGAGTATTTATGATTTTATAGAAGTGTTGGAATAATTACATCAAAGATCATTCACTGACCTAATCAAGGTATTTGATACTGCAAAAACAAAACAAAACCAAACCTACTATCATTGATTCTGATTCTTAGTGATCCTGTATAGGGTTTCTGAAGCTGTAAATCCTTATGGGAGCAGAAAGCCTCATCTTTCTCCCATAGAGTGGCTGGTAGGTTTGAACCACCAACCTTATGGTTAGGACTCCAGTGCTTATCCTACAGCTTCACCGTAAACAGACATAAACAATTATTTTTATAGAATGAGTCTGACTTGAGGAACTCAGTAGAATTGTCCTATCTTAAGGTTCTGACTGACAGTTAATAATGGTGAATATGATGGTATAATAGAAGCAGCAGCCGTATTCACTGCTTACATGATCACAGCCACATGCTAGGAATTGTCATGTTTATTCTTCAACAACTCTACCATGTCGAATTTAGAGCCCCCTTTTTCAGGGAGAGGTTAGATATTTTACTCAAGGTCTTGGTATAAAAATGCAATTAGGAACTTTTGGGTAAACACTCATTTTCACGGGCAGTGAACATCATCACTGTTTAGGAATGGATGTGTTTCAAGGACAGTACTTTCACATCATGTGCCCAATAGTTGGAAAAGTGTAAAAAACCTAATGGTAGGGCACTGTTACAACATAGGAATAGCCAAGTTTTAATGCAAGATTAGACAAAAGAAAAAATTCCATATTTTCACTCCCCAAACGTAACAATAGTTGTCAGTTTTGGAGTATTTCATTTTCAGTTTTTTTACAAATAGGAAATTTCTGAAATTAACTTTTTCCTCTTACTAAATAATAATTTAATCTTACTGTTTCTATAAATCCATCATTTACTTCTCCCATTCTCAGTTTTTTCCTAAGGCTCCATCTTCTGTACCTGCTTATTAACTCATAAAAATGCTCTGAGTGTGGAGCTGACTTTTCTTATCCCATTTCTGTAAGGCATCTTCATCAGCTGTGGTAGTACAGGAGATATGAAAAATGTCTGATCTGTTAGCATGATGAGGTTTATCTTTAGGCATTTGGCAATATACCTGCTTATATACCAGTCGTTTAACTAGTTGAGTTAGCTTCTGTAAGTCTCCATTTTTTCAGATGAGGCTAAATGACATTACACATATAAGATTATTGTTGTTATTAAGTATCGGTGACTCAGTTCTGACTCATGGCGACCGTATATAGGCTTTCCGCGGTGCAGCTGGTAGGTTTTAACTTCGGACCTTATGGTGCATAGTCTAGTGCTTATCCTACAGTGCCATACATATAAGATATCTAGTATAATGCATGCTTTCTGAAAGGTAAACTTTCTCTCCTGACAAATTAGTATGCAATTGGATATCCTCAGTGCCATCGAGGATGTTCTAAGTAGCTCTTTCATCTTTTCTAAAACTCAAATCATCTGTCTTTTTAAAAACATTCATATGATATCCTATCCTTTCACTGTTGAATCTATCTCTTCATAAAGTAGACCCTTTGGGTTTATTGAATACTTAGTACCAAATTCACAGTCCAAACCACAACCACAGAACCAATATCAGTAGTGACTGTTCTGCACTACTTGCTGCTCACATCCGTCTGTCCAGGGTCAGTGGTGACTGTTCTGCACTACCTGCTGCTCACATCCCTCTGTCCAGGGTCAGTGGTGACTGTTCTGCACTACCTGCTGCTCACATCCATCTGTCCAGGGTCAGTGGTGACTGTTCTGCACTACCTGCTGCTCCCATCCGTCTGTCCAGGGTCAGTGGTGACTGTTCTGCACTACCTGCTGCTCACATCCGTCTGTCCAGGGTCAGTGGT